GTGTCCAGTAATCCCCAATATTGATACTTCAGTGGGTCGTACTACAACGTTAGGATCTAAGAATTTCAAGTTCTTGAATGAAATAATGGACTCTATACTGCCTGTGTCCACAATAAAGTCATGAAATGAACCAAGCGATGTATATAGTCGCTTTTGAATATGAGCATTACCTTTCGAAATAGTAGAAAAAGATAAATGATCGCTAGAAACATCCGAATTATTGAGATTTAAATGACAAGATTTAGTACTACTTGAAGCAAAATGGACAGTAGCCTTGCATACCGACTGAATGTGTCCTATCTTACCACATTTAAAACATTTAGCATTACGAAATGCACATGAATTACGAGGATGAAACTTTCCACATGATAAACATTTACCAAACTTCATCTCACCTTTGTGATTTGCTTTGTAATCCCTTGTTGAAACACCTTTCATATTTACACGAGAATAGGATTCACTGTTAAATGAACGCAAGTTCGATTGACCCTGAGATTGTAGTTCATCAGGACGACTAAGCAAAGTATTAGAAATCTTCATCGACTGGATATCTAGTTCATTCACTGCTTCATAGTTAATAGTTCTAGCATCTTGAAAGGAACAGTTTGGCATTCTTAACAGCTCTCTTTCCAAACTCGGTATGTTAATTCCTGCAATTAATCGATCTCTCAGTTGTATTTATTTTATTTATTTATTTCAACACATAGATAATGGTACAAAGAGGCACCAAATACATATGCGCCACACAAATCTCATTCGATATGTGTGAGGGCTGTGATACTGCCCGGGTGCCCAAACCGAAGCAGGTGGTTTTCTTAGGGGGCCACATCCCGAGCCTTCGACCCAAAGGTCTGATCCACAAGGCAGTGGAGCATCGTAAGGAGATGCAGTCCCATGGAAGCCGGTGACCAACAATTTGTTCATTCGCCATTTGTTCCCGCAGGATACTGGAGCCCATGTGCACCATTAGTTTGGAATCCGGTTAAAGCGCCGGACATTCGCTTTTCGTCCTCTCATTTTCGTGAACAACACCCCCGTCACGAGAAGGCAGTGAGTAGGACTTCCCTGACAGAGGCTATATACGCGTGGCCGTGTGAGAGTATTTCGAGAGGGAGAGCGGACTCTCCCCACTCTCGGCCTTACCAGGGCATTTGGGGGCTCTCTCAGTTGTACATGAAGTTGATCACCGAAATTACACTTGGCAGCTTGTTTCTACAATTCAAGGATGAATTCCCGAACTTTTTGATCATTTTGACGAACCATCTTATGAAATTCCGCCCTTTTCACGGCATTCAAAACTGGTGCATTTTACATGATTTAATAATAGCTCTTTAAGAGTTGCATAAGGAAGTGCGATAGGTTTTTCTGGATATGCCAAAGTTTTTAATAAGCTGTAAGCTTCTCTCCCAATGAATGTCTGGAAATGTGCCACGATTTTATCACCTTTGACATCTTTCTTAGTCATGCTCCAGATTTCAAACCTTTCCAAATAATCCTCAAATGCTTCCGAAGTTGAATGAATGTCCAACTTTTCCATTGCAGGTTCCATCACGACGCTAATATAATGTTTCGAATTATTTGAATTATAGCACGAACTAAGAGTCCAAGAAATAACGCAATTGAATTAAGAAGACACAAGCACAACCGAATGTACTGTATTTGGAATTCGAAATCGTACAATCAACCAGTACAATAGTATCATTAGTTCGTTCAAACACCACAGATAACTATTTAAGAACCTGATTGGTTGGCAAGCACGCAAGTAAGAGACGACAAGACAGTTGCAACACTGAACTCTGGATTATCTGAATTCTCTGAATTCTGATTAGTACAAAAATGTACATGAATAAATAAGTGAATATCTTGACCACGACGTACGATAATTTGGAAAAATACAGTTATACCCGAAACTGGGAATTAGGGTAGAAAATACGGTGCAAAATATTATGTTTAAATTACAATATTTTCGGAACAAAAAAGGGTATGGTAGTGAATGATACATAGAACGAAAGCTCATGTCATGTAGAATAAGATAGGGACAAAAATAAATATAAGTGTTTTACACGGTTTAAGTGAAATGGATCAACATCCCAAGAAAATGGCTTTCATAGTTGTCTGGGCTTCTTTATTACCCGTTCACAACACTCTATTTTATTAAGAATGTCGTTGCATAGCAAAGGGATCATTAGAAAAGTCAGCATCTATCAAAACTACATCAAGTTTTCGATCATGACTAGGTTCATTCAACATATTTTCCTCAGATTTGCAACGAATTTCGTCAGAAATAAATGAATCATTAGGACAAACCATATCTGGTACAATAACATGAGAAATCTGATAAGTTGATTGATTAGAAACTGTTGTCTCGCAAGTATTCTGAGTTTCATCTAACTCTGAACTGCTGTACACTGTCTTTTGAAATCGTTGATAAGGATAAAAGATCATCAGGAACACTGGACTAAATAGAATCAGAGTTACAAGACTTAATATTCGTTGCAGTAAGATGAACAGAAGTACTACAAACTGACTGAATATGTCCAATATCACCACATTTAAAGCACTCAGAATTACGAAATTTACATGAATTAAAAGAGTGAGACCTGCCACATGACAAGCATTGACCAAACTTGTGCCCATCTTCGTGAAATGCATCGCAACTCCTCAATGAATTATCTGCATAACCTTGAGTATGCACTGGGTTTGGATGACATAATGTAGTGGAATTTTTTAAATCCTCATGAATCACTTTACAAGATTTCCCTCCTTTACCACATTCCAAAGTTGTATACTTAATATAGTCTAGCAGTGGATCCTTGAGAAGTGTATAAAGAAGCAAAATGGGGTTTTCCGGTAAAGTCAGAGTTTTTAATAAGCTACAGGCTTCTTTTTTGATGAATGTGAGGAAATGCGCTACAATATTAACAACCTCATCATTTTCCTTGGTCATGGCCCAGATTTCGAACCTTTCAAAGTAATCCGCAAAAGCATCAAAATCTGAATGTTTGTCCAACCGTTCCACCACAGGCTCAATCGCGACGCTAATATGATTAGGAGTATTCGAATTATAGTATGAACTAAGAATCCCAGAAATAACGTAATCGGATCAAGAAGTACTAGATAACCACAAACGAATTTACTGTACTTAGAATTCGATATTAAGCATTCGACAAGTACGAAGGAATTATTAGTTCAGTCAAACACCACATTATGTCATGTGGCACTGTTAATTATCACGTGATGCGATCGTAAACGGAGACACTGACTTATTGACCAGGCTAGTGACGGATAAACTAGTAAGAGTAGCCTACAGTTAACTCTGAGCCCTTATTGACCCTTCTGACATAGTGGCTTTTCACTCAACCCAGCCAGTTCAGTCCAGAACATCATATCAGCCTCCACTATACGAAGCATGCATTTCAGCCATACGTCGTTTACGTACAGGCAAATCAGACGGCATCATGCCATAAAATAGAAAATGACAGTTATACAAGATAAGCCCAAAAAGCGGGCTATGAATGTGAAATACTGTAACAAATAGGTCGGGAATAACATAAGGATAGTAAGTCGTATAGTGATAGCCACTAGGTCAAATGGAAGCTAACAATAAGATGAATATCAATACAAATACAATACATCTGCTTGATAGCCTTATAACAACTATATATTATAACGGTCCATAAATAAATCGCGACAGTTACCATTCAATCACTGTTCATCAGGACAGATAAAAACCGCGCGCGTTGAAAATTCGGAAGTCTGTAGTCGTCTACCCAACTTTAAAGCCCAGTTACATTTTTCTAAAGCTCTAGCTTGTCAACCTGTACGCTTATTCTTAGCAAAAACCAATACCTCAGAAGCTACTGGTTGAGGAAACGATCACGTAAATTGAAGGGAACGAAGGTCCTAGTATTAATCCATGAGGGGCCCTGTAATAGCATTCTGTGGTCCGGGAAATTGAACAAACTACTCCGACTCCGTACAACTACTCATTTAAGTATGACCTGTGTCAGCTTACCACTGGTGACTAAAGACCTATCAGTTTGAGGTAGTTGATAGGTTACGTGCGATTGGATTTATTGAACAATGTTTAGGGACGAAGATATATTACGACTTACAGGTCTGTTTTATGAGAACGTTTTACTGATTTTGTACGAGCTCTTTTGAGCTCTATACTGAGCGTATATCCTTCTGGATGTGCCTGAATGCTGAAACATGTTAGTAGCCTTTTAGAGTGCAGGGATCATGATCGTTTACTTTCTAAACCTCTTTTACTTCAGCGTCTGTAAATTGAGAGCATCTTGGTGAACTTAGTGAAATTTATTTTTTGATCCAAGTCTCTATTTGATTGCTTTTTTGACGCTTTCAACAAAGTGATTTTGCCTTTTAAGATGAATGGAAATATTTAAATAGTTTTTGTAAATGAGGTGTTGGGTAAACACTGAAAACAGTTTTGAATAATTCGACTGTCAAAGAATCCAATGTTCTGTAAGTAAACTGTGTCCCTTCGAGATGTATCCATTTTAGATACTGGAGCTTAGAGTGTATTTTAAGAGCGATAGAGTATTATAAGTCTCCCAAATTACGAGGCATTATTACATGTTGTTTGTTTTTTCACTAATAATGAAGAGCTTACATCCCATTGCCGGGAGGTCGCAGCCAAGGGGTTTCGAACCCTCTTGGCTTTAAAAAGGACATTCACTAAGTTAGATACTACCATGTTCACCACAGTATACACATCTTTAGTGAGAACTAAGCTAGAGAACTGCGTTCAGGCTGTAAGCCCCTGCTTAAAAAGTGACTTGGAGATACTAGTAAAAGTACGGAGGGTAGCTACCCATGCAATTCCGGAACTCTGGGGTTTGTCATACAAAGAGCGGCTGGAAAAACTGGACAGAAGTATACTAGAAAAGGAATAACATAGGCCATAGGCCTTCTGTCCTTACTACACAAATCTGAATCTGAATCTTACATTGTCTATTGAACAACTGTTAATTGTTTGACACATTGCTTTATTTCAGTCGGACATATTATAAGCGCTGTAAGGTCGGCATTTTGTGGTGGATAGCATGCCGAAATACGATCGTCAGGCTAATGGGTACAGAGTATTCGTTGGAGGTGTGGACCCTCGTGTCGGAAAAGTTGACATAGAACAAGAGTTTGAGCGCTTTGGCCCAATAGCAGATGTATGGGTTGCTCGAAATCCACCTGGATTCGCATTCATCGTATTCAAGTATGCAGAAGACGCAGATCGAGCAGTTAGGCGAATGGATGGAAGGTAAAAATGCATACATATATTTAACTTATCTGCAGTCGTCCTTTCGGGTCTCGTCTAAGGGTGGAACATGCGGTTAATAATAAAACTGCAAACAGGTAAGTCAAACATATTGTCTCTGAAGTCTTAACATTAGTAGTTAGTGGGTTTGTCTAAGGTTACTATTTTACTAGTCCTTGGGTCCATATATTAGTTTGTAAGCGTCAGATTACCGAGGACTTTCCAGTCTTAAGGAGTAGATTCACCATCATTCATATCAATGCATTAGCTAAACAACCTCAACGCTAGGTATTCATCCTACTCATTGATAGCCAGTCCGTAGGTTGATTAAATTATCAGTGAAATTTTACTCTGATTACCTCCGGGTCGACAGGTAAGTGGTTCAAAAACTAAGTTATCGTTAACTTGTGAGATATAAAGATTAACTAAATTACTGCACTTCTTCTTGCATCCAAGACTGCCTCGTGGCAGATATCACAACATCTCGTCAGAAGCCGCCCACGTCCACCACCTAGTACATCCATTAACTCCTGTTCCATCCACAAACTCTCAGCTCGGTCATCCAATCTACGCTTCCTCCGTCTGATCACAGATGTTCATCAGCTTGTGGCTAACCCAAATTCTCTCCGCTTACATCTTCGAATAATCTAACGCTTGTCTTCACGCTAAGCAGTTCATCGAAACATGCCAATAAGCCCGCGTTTTGTCACAGTAAGTTGCATAGCTAAGCGCACTTTAGGCTTTTGCATAGACATGCCCGATTCACTATCGGGTATTCCTGTTTCTATTTAAAAAAATAAATATTTCAAGATATGACATGAATGTTGATTCCCTGGAGCGAAATGTCCGATTAGTATATCGACGATCTCGTTCAGCAGTTTAATCGGAGTTAGACAGTTGAAGGATCAGTGATATATACAATGCTGTATCACAATTTTAATAAACCAAAAGGTGTTGAAACAGTCGCTTAAGTTTAAACTGGTTTCAGTGGAAAGCTGTCACGTCTATTTTAGTTTGTAGTTCCCATTTAACCTATTCAACATTAAAAAGACTGAGCTGATCCCATTGTAAAAATAGTGCACAAGGTTTCTCTCAATCCATTGAAATCTTGCTTGTTATGTTGTTGAATTCCTCGTACATTATTCTTAGCCCTCAAAAATGCAATTTGTAGTTCACACTAATTCATATCTATGTGGCCCATGAAAATGTATTAAGACCATTCGTTTTATTCCAAATGAACAGACATTAGTGTAGCGCTTTTGCAATAAAACATTTTTAATTTTGCTAAGTCTTTATCAACTAAACTATGGGAGTTCATGGAAGGATTTATAGGTACTCTCATTCCTAGCCACTCGTACCTAATCCCATATCTATCGTTATGTCTGTACTACGTCAAACACAAAAGCTCAGGGACTACTGTCAGAGTAGCGAGCGAAAAATTGTTATCAATCACGGTATGATAACATTACGACTACTGATTGCCCTTATAAAAATTACCGTACGTGGATATTCATAGTTTGCCTTCGCCCATAGTTTGTCATGCTTCCTGACTCTTGCTTACTCAGGTCATGAGTGTGGTTTCATATTTTTCAGCCGACGTCACGATCGTTCGCGTTCTCGCTCATACAGCAAGCGTCGGCGAGATTCGCCACCGCGCCGACGCACTCCTGTACGCCGCTCTTCGTCAGGACGACGAAGGTAAGTCCGTTTTACGCCTCACTTTCGACAGGTCACCAAGCGATTTTCGAGACACAAGACGCCACTCACCACCCGGATATGAACGGAATAGGTCAGGTCATGAAGACCGTTATCGTACAAGATCCCAGTCTTCTAGCAAAAGATCCAGCAAACATAAAACTTCACGACCTCGCTCTAGAACTCCTTCTCGGCAGTCTTCGCATCGCAACAGCAACCGACATTCCCGCTCTCAATCACGAAATTCTCACAAAAACAACGGACGACATAGTCCTACTCCGGATCGTCGCTCGGTTTCGGATTATGATCGTTCTCATTCTCGTTCACCAGATGTTGAACGAAGACATAGCTACGAAGATTCAGGTAGTCCAGTTAACGAAGGTCGCAATGCAAGTCCTGGTGATCGTGGTGCACGTAATCATAATTCCCGTTCTGTGTCACGTTCACGCTCCCGGTCACAACAAAGCAACCACCGTTTCAGATCTCGATCGCCATCTGACTACCATGATGATGGTGCCCCAAGAGAACATTCATCTGACAGTCACACAGGTAAGACAACTTAATCCCAGTTTGGTAAAGTTCAAATTGTTTTCTTTATCTTTCATTGTGGATCTAATCACCTAACCTGTAAGACGTCGATTTTTTGTCCAAATATAAAATGCATATGCTGGAACGTAAATTGGAAATATCTCTGTCGCCTCAATTTGAAGCAAAGATTTGCTTCATAAATATCACTGACTGTAGTCTTGTTAAACCTACCTGGTACATTATTTTAATTCTACAGAGAGGTCAAGATTTAAAGTTTAGGGTGAAATGTTTTTTATTTGTATTTGCAATAACATCCACTCGCAGTATTTGAATGTCATAAACACCTAGATTTTACATGTGAGCTACAACCCAGTGTGCTAGAAGGTTTAACAATCAACCAACGACCAGTTAAAGGTAATATATCTTGCACGGACAGTCCTTCTACCACTTGATAAGTGAGTCATCAATGAAAATAAAAACAGCTTGTCAATTAATCTGTTATAATTCCACACCTATATATTGTCGTACTGAAATATATGCTTGGTAATTACTACAACCATCTGAAATAAAGTTAGTAATAATAATTTCATTTCCGTGCACTGGTTTCTGTTTGTTTTTACTATACACACTTGATATTCCCTGTCTCTTCAAAAATTCATTATTGTTGTGTGGCAACGAAAGAAAAAGAGATAGGAAAGGCGGTAACTGTAGGTAGCATAAGACAGCTCCACAGACTAATAAAAGAAACTGGAATTAATAAGTCAAGTGTAAGTGAGACTCGCGGGAAAAACGACACTTATTTGTTCCCAGTCCAGACGTTTAGAACGATGGGCGGAACATTTTAGAGAACTGTTCAGCTGGTCTTCAGCTACTCTACAACTACCCACTATTCCCAAACAGCTTAGATGTAACATTGACGTAGTTCCAACGTCTCTGAAGTTCACAAAGCTATAGCTAATCTGATACGAGGAAGAGCAGCTAGTCCGGATGGATTGGCTCCATATGTCTTTAAGGGTGGTGGTCCAATCTTAGCGATTAGGTTGACTAATATTTCAGTTGAAATCTGGGAGTTGGACGTGATCTCGTCTGACTGGTCACAATCACTGACTGTCCCAATATGTAAGAAGGAGTCAAAATCATTCTGTGATAACCATAAAGGGATTAGTTTTACTAATATAGCGTCTAAAATACTAGCCTCATTAACTATCAGACGCCCAAGACTCGTGAACTGCAAACACGAGAGAGTCAAGCTGGCTTCAGACCTGGTCGTGGCTGCATCGACCAAATATTTACCATTCGTCAGGTTCTAGAACATAGGCATACTTATTGGCGTCCGACAATGGTGGTCGTTCTTGACTTGAAAGCAGCGTTTAACTCCGTATACTGCAAGATTCTGTAAGTGTCTGTCATTGAAAGGCGTACCCCAGAAGTACATAAACCTTGTGAAGGCTCTTCACTCGAACACTACTAATCGAGTCAGCTTATGGCGAACTGTCATCTGCTTTTGCAACCTTAAGTAGTGTCCATCAAGGCTGTCTACTTTCTCCATGTTTGTTTAACTTCATCACAGACCTACTGAGGAAATAACATTCTCGTCGACTGGATTTTCGGGTACTGATCTCCTTCCAGGAGGTCCACTTATCGAATTAGAATACGCAGATGACATAGTCTTGTTTGGTGAAAACGCTGAAAAAATGCAGTCTTTTGGTAGCACTAAGCAACTATGCCAGAATGTTTGGAATGAGGTTCCCTCCGTCTAAATGCAAGTTGTTGCATCAGGACTGGTCTGCGTCAACTAAGGATAGGGAGTGAAGTAGTCGAACGCGTTGGCAACTTCACTTATCTTGGAAGTCTGATCAGTCCTAATGGGTTGGTGTCTGACGAAATCTCAGCACGGATTCGAAAAGCTTGTTTGACTTTTGTCAACTTACGTCACCTATGGCGAAGGCGAGGTATCCGTCTATCGATTAAGAGATGAGTATACTGCTCGGCAGTTCGTACTGTTCTACTTTTCAGCTGCGAAACGTGGCCACTAAGAGTAGAAGATTCTCGTAAGCTACTAGTATTTTATCACTGATGCATTAGAAATATTGCTGGGGTCACCGGGTAAGTAATAGTGAGGTTAGATGCAGGGTATTAGGGAATGATGGTAAATCAGTTGATGAGGTTGTGAATCTTCATCGACTGAGATGGTTGGGCCACGTGTTACGTATGCTCGAACACCGATTACCACGACGTGTAATGCTAATCGGTGTTCGGGATGGTTGGAAGAAAGTTAGGGGCTGCCAAATAAAAACGTGGCATCAGTACTTGAAGTCAGTAACTTCTAGTCTAAGCCATGTTGGTAGATGCAGATTACTTGGTTGGAGACTATGGATGATATGGCTGAGAATCGATCATAATGGTGTAGGTGTATACACTCTGTTTTCCCTTAAAATATGAGATTAAAATCGCTTCATATATTTCTTTCTACGAACTAATTCTTTCTTCCTGTACTGGATCCATACATGCAGTTTTTCTTTTATATATTACCACCACTGAATTAACTACTTCTATGAATTCGGCGTTCATCTTGTTGTACTAATGAGGTATGGCAACTTTTTTGTTTATTTCAACACATAGATAATGGTACAAAGAGGCACCAAATACATATGCGCCACACAAATCTCATTCGATATGTGTGAGGGCTGTGATACTGCCCGGGTGCCCAAACCGAAGCAGGTGGTTTTCTTAGGGGGCCACATCCCGAGCCTTCGACCCAAAGGTCTGATCCACAAGGCAGTGGAGCATCGTAAGGAGATGCAGTCCCATGGAAGCCGGTGACCAACAATTTGTTCATTCGCCATTTGTTCCCGCAGGATACTGGAGCCCATGTGCACCATTAGTTTGGAATCCGGTTAAAGCGCCAGACATTCGCTTTTCGTCCTCTCATTTTCGTGAACAACACCTCCGTCACGAGAAGGCAGTGAGTAGGACTTCCCTGACAGAGGCTATATACGCGTGGCCGTGTGAGAGTATTTCGAGAGGGAGAGCGGACTCTCCCCACTCTCGGCCGTACCGGGGCATTTGGGGGCCTGGCAACTTGGACCGATGCATATATGTGCTTGGTCCTACATCGTGGCTGGCTGACTGACGTTTTTTGTGCCCTCTTGTGCTCATGTTTATTTATTCAAATATCGAATTTTCATATATTCTGTTGCAAATGATCAGGAGTGATGCTTTCGGTTGTCTGTTTAGATTAAAAATCCTAGAGTAGTGATATTTAATATTGTCAAGTTGAACATATTATGTAAACCTAGTTTATTGGCATTAAATAACTTCAAGTCTTTTTTTTTCAGGTGATCGAAGTGGTTGAGAAGGCAAATATTGATATGCTTAACATGTTCATATATATTATCCTATAAATTTTTTAATATTGCATTTGAGTGTCAATTCAGCGTCTTTTGATTTTTTTATGCGTATATGTATTGGTTGAGACGTAATTCGAGAACTGAGTTGTTAGAGGTCATATTTTGCTCGTCTTCTGTAAAAACTGAATAAGGAGAACCAGCACGATTTGGGGAATTTCGAAAATATCCAAACTGTATACGCCTAAAAGTTATATAGATAGATAGATAGGTAGATAGATATTGAAAAGTTACTCTTATCAGGTTTGCGAATACGAATCGCATTCCGAAATGAATAACTGTTTACGGATATCCCACTCTCCGAATCCGTTTGGTTTGATAGGAAGTTCTATTTGTGTACTTGGTAGCGATTGTTTATGTATACTGTTAAATTTGTGGTTCAAAGGACCTTTGTTCCCGGAGCGTCATCGGGCAGCGTGCAATGAGTGGACATTTCGATCGTTTAATAACCGGATATTAGAGGTTTATTTAATTTTATCTTCGGCGTCTTAAGATATATTGATTATCTCCGTGTTCCTAACTCTTCGAGTTGGTATTTAGAACCACATAAAGGACAAATAGCGTCGTGGTTTGATCATATGTATTTTCAAAAGCTTATGTGCGAATGATGAGAGTACTTTAGTCAATCGCAATGACCTCAGTATGTTATAGCGATAAGTATTTGACTAATATCTAGCGCATCAGCGATGTCAAGTTAAATTCATCTCACTGTGAGCGCATTTCGACATGGATATTTTCTAGCTCTTATCCAGGGTCTTGTATGCTACTGTCTAAAATCCCATCTGCATTTATTTACCTAATTCACGCCGAATAGCTTGTTTTGTGCTTTTAAGAAATTCATAGTCGTAAAAGCGTGGCATCAAGATGGGGTCAGACAACTTTATCGTTGGATCTTCCTGCAGTAGGTCGGTGTCGTTGACCACTATACACCTGTTGTCAAGGCAATCCATTTGGTCGATTTCATTTGTGCTATGCGTTCCGAACATCTGTTCATGCATGCATGTCACGGCACTTCATATAAAAACTAACAAAGGACATAAGTGAAAGCGCAAATAATGTGAATAAGAGAGAAATGAGAGGTTAACATGATGGAGACAGAATTGGAAGTTGTCGCAGTGGTGTAGTCCATATTAACGACCTGAAGTTCATTACGGGTTTAAGGCCATGACAAATTGTTTCTGTACGCATAAGGGAGTTTTGAGCTTACCAAGGCCAGATTTTTCGAGATGTGTAGTTCAGTTCCACATTTTGCAGACCATCTCTGATCTCATGTTTGATAACGGTTCGGAACAGTTTTGTGTAAACTGTCCTACCGAGGCTAGTTGGTCAGGGTACGCGACTACCTGAAGAAGAGTGCTGACTAGTATGACGTGCCACGAATGGGACTGTTCTTCGATCATAGACGGTACGGTGACATTAATTTTGTTAGGGTTTAATATTTTATCTCAGCCGTGTGGCTCGTGTCGTGCAGCAGTCTTTAAGCAATGTTATCACAACCAAAGTTCTAGTTAGCACAGACGTCCATCTGGTGATACGTTAGGAAGAATGATGAGAAGCAAGGAATGAAGATACGTTAACCGAGATAATTTCACACTCAGTCGGTCCAGTAAGTGTCTAGTGACACGAATAGTTAATTCACCAAAAGTTTGGTAAGTAGATCGAAGCTACTTACATGTTGGATTGTGTACCACTTGAAAATATTTATCCGACCAGTGTGGTGTGCTTGAGTTGTATTTTAGATGTCCCATCTATTCTTGTAAGTTATTCGTCATAAAATTGATCCCATACATCTTAAGGATATAAGGTTCATGCTAATTGTTTACAGGCCGAATCTCGTCGGTTGCATCATTTGCAATGTATCAAAGTTTGGCAACATGCACCCAAGTCAGTGTGTAATTTGGGTCTCGATGTGAACGCTTAGTGACTAACCAACTAAAATGGTACTTAATATCATGCATAGTTTTTTAATTTCAATCTACGAAGAGATCATCCAAACCTGTAAGCTGCCATTTTTGGGGAATCCAGCGTCATTTCGAAAGTCCAGTTTTGTAGCGCTCAGCTTCGTACTTGTCTCTAAAGGTAATCATCATGACAATAAAATATGACGGTTCACTCTTCAAGAGTCGGAAATCTTTTTTTGTTTGATTCATAAATGGCATTAATAACTGTTCGAATAACCTATTTTTAACGATGCTGACAGTATTATCAATCAAAATGTTCTGCAGTCCCTCAGATTACAACAGTAAGTCCAGATTTCTTCTACATATAAGTTGTTGGTAGTAAAACTTATTTTTAGTGTTATGTTTTTAGGCACTTAATATTTTTCTAACATAAGAGTTTCAAATTTATTGTTATAAGGGTAAGGTTGTATACGAATCTGTTAAATTGTTCTGGAAACTGAAATAAAATCATTTGTTTAAGAACTGACATTCGAAATTTCAAATGGCCTGATAAGCCGTATGTACAACAATGAGGTCGTTATCTTAACTTCAGGAATGGAATGTTTAACTCTATTTATTATAGTAATTACACATCTTATTTTTTTCTTAGAAAATTTATATACATTAACGGAATTTACTAAAACTACTTAGTATGTTGTCATACATAAATTATGTGATTCATTGTTTATGTTCAACTCACTATTTAATAAATAATCAAGAAATATTTCTTTTTCTACATTCACGATATTCCAAACATACTTTTAGTACTAAAGAATGTAGAATAATTTGTAATATTTCAATTTGGATATTGAATTCTAATATTCAAACTATTTCGTAGTAAATTGGCTATTTTTTGTAACACGCAGTTGTATGTGCATGTTTATAAATGAATCTAATTGAAACGTCAGTAAACAACAGATAGATACCTTGTGGGTGGTTAATTAATTGAACTGTATTTCAAATAATAATTATTGTTTCAAATGTTATTTCCTTTTTTTACTATGAAATTGTATAACATTTATAAAGAATTTACTAAATACTTTTATTTGACAAGTAATTCTTATGCATACTTATATTACTTGTGATGCCTATTGTACTTTGATATCTTTCTCATGTCGATAAATATCTTTTTAAGGGAACGTGTTGTAAACTTCACAATAACCTTTTTGTTTTAGTTGTATAAAATTTTAACGATTCTGTTTGTTTTTTCTCACTATTTAATTTAACTAATTTATTAAATGTCAAATGTATTATGTACTAACATGATTTTTACCAAAAGTCTATATAGCCTATCTTGATACTTAAATACTGCACAACTCAAATGAAATCCAAAAAGTAATTGATATACTTTTCCTCCTTGTCAATTTGGGAAAATAAGAGAAAATTACATTAAGATTGATTGACCATGTAGATTGTGTCAAATAAATTATCAGGATTCTCAAAAAATACTGTATATTTTTTGTTAAGAATTTGCCCTGTGACTGAATAAGCAAGTAATAATATTATTATAACCTTTTTTCTGTATCAAACATATCATCAAATACTTTAGGGAATAACAGGCTAAACAGTTAAATCGCTTAGCTAATACAATCTAACAAAAATTCTTCTCCTACGTTATCCATTTTCCTCAGTATTTTCAATCAACAGATCACCTTTGTAGATGTAAATAATCCAACAAACCATATGTATACCAATTGTTTAACCTGAGTGGCTGTTTTTAGCGGGGGTTTTTTTCTACGAGATGGGGTTGCTAACCCCATGCACAACCCTCCTCTATATCTGGGCTTGAGGCCGGCAATAGCCCTAGAATAGCTACAGACGGAAATATGTATTAGATTTAGTATAAGCCATTACTCAATAATTTAGGCATCTGGATTGCATCTCTGTACTGGGATTTTATTTCATTTTAAATATAACAAGTCCAAGGTTACAAATTGTTGTATATACTTAAATCTTGAACTCACAACAATGAATAAATACATTTTATTTGTAAATTTGTATCTCGCAAATGAGGTTCATTGAATATAGGCAACCAGACAACAGTTAGCATTAGGTTATTACCAAGGTGTTAACATGCACACCGTTTTATATAACTTTTTAGTTTGTTTTTGGATAATTGATGTCCAGATAACTAATATAACTGAATTTTTAAGGTAGTTATCCTATCCCTGATGTTCAATAAAATTAAAGTTCCTATTTGTTGTTCTGTTTGCATATTTCTATTGTTAAATAACTTTAACAATCATGCCACGAAATATTTGATTGTTTTATAAGTTCACGGGATCCTCACCTGGTACCTTTGTCTTTACATAAAATCATTCAAAAGATTTCTGAAAGTTATTTTTAAATATCATAATTTAACCTGATAGATTAGAACAAATGGGACATTGGATGAATAGTTTAAAACACAAAATTTTTTCCCAGTCTAAATGAAATAATGGCGTCAATTATCTTCAATGTTTACTACATGAAATCAATATCTCAGAGTTTTCATATGTTTCAGTATCAACGCAGTCATAAGAACAAGACATGTTTGTGCATTTCGTTCATGGATGAGAGGTTTCTTTAAATACAACTAGGAATTCATTTTTTAAATTGCAGATAGCTTGTTCATTATTAGTTTGAGGGCTTTTGTTTTCGAAAGATTTCACATGAATTTATGATGAGTTTATCATTAACAGATGCTATAAGTAGGTGAATAGTAATCAGTACGTCCGATAGGTGTAAAAGAGTATATTTGGCGAGTCATTTTAACTGGTTATAATCTTGCCTTGCAAAGTGTTTTCTATGCATCTGTAAATTAATATGACTACCGATTAACGACTGAATTAAGGATTGATATTTTCAAGATGGTAGAGAATAGTTGCAAATGAAGATGAGGACTTTGAGGATGTTTTGTTCTCACAGATGAATGATTTATTCATGAAGCTCTTATTGTCTTTATGAGAAGCATGTTACTGCGGTAACGGATCAATCAGTGGACCCACTGTCACAAGCAATAAGGAAAAGAGTCAACAACTTGAAGGTCAGTGGTGAAAAAAACTAAGGCAACGGCCATACACCTATTGATAAAAACCAACCAGGA